ACCTACTCCTACCTTCTCACATTACAGTTGAGGAAATCCAAGTTGGAAGAGATTAAAAGGCCTTCCCAAGTCATACAACTTAGTATCTGGGCTAGTAAAAGAACTCCATCCCCTAATATCCAAGTCAATGTGGCAACCTAGAAAAATAGTAAAATGTAGCCAAAAGAGAAAGAGAGCTACATAAAGAACAGTCTTTCTTTAGATGACATACATTGTGATTTTAAAAAAAGAACCATGAGGCCCCACCCATCTCCTTTTTTCTGGACAGAAGGAAATAGGTAGAGATGAAATAATGACAATTTTCTCAAACTCTTAACCTTTGTAAACAGTTTTTAGTATACACATACTTAAGTGAAAAGGCAAAAACATCTTGCTGCATCTATAAATTAGTAAGGCTATAGTCAATGGTTTCTATGAAATGAAGTCTATACAAAATAACTCTGAAAACAGCATAGATTATAAAAGCATCCTGGTGTTCCCTCAATTTGTTTTATAAACTGTTCTGATTACACAGGTGACTAACACCAAGAGTCTCTTGCATCTGCTCATGATTCATGTACTCTTTTCCATCCAGTACATGATAAAGATCAAAGATCAAAGATAAAAGATCATTCCTCAGATTTATATCCAATTGCTTTACACCCTAATTTACAAAGGGGAGCATTAAGGTAATCGAGAAAAAAAAAAATCTTACAAACTTGCATAATGAAAAAAAAAAAAGTTACTGCATGTTGCCAGGTTAAGGACACCCTGCAAAAATGAATGCATGGCCTCCCTCAGAAAAGCAAGTATCTTTAGTCTACAATAAACTCTCAGAATCACACGGAGGCAACTTAGAAAGCAAGAGTCTGGAAGTATGGAACTGAATCAGATATGGTAACAATATTTCCAGTTTCTACTTTTATTTTCAATTCTAATGCTCTTATTTAGTTTTACCTTTAAAGAAAAACTTGAAAGGTTAAACATCGCTCATGCCACATAGTGCCTTTGTTTTCACACAATCCTAGTTTGATGTGTGTTAATCACAGTCTGTAAACAGATAACAACCTATAATGGGAGGCACTGAATCCATAGATCCAGATTTTATAAAAACTTGGTCTCTCTGCTTTGCTGGTTAAGCATCATTTAGACGCAATAGCCAGTTTTTCACTGGCTTATTAAGTTGCCAGCAAGGCGATTCTCTTCTCAGGGGCAATAAATTCTGATTGTAACTACAGTAAGCCACTGTGCTGGGATAAAGACCTATATAAAATTTTGTTTAATTCTTTACAATCATCACATGAGAAGAATCTTTATAACTAGTTGATAATCATCATACAGATTATAAACTGTAAATCCTAAGAAGTTTAACCATTTGCCTGAGGGTCATTTGTTTTACCAGTGGTAAAACAGAAATCAGAATTTAAGTCTTCAAAAGCAAGAGCCTAGGATCTTTCCATTATAGCTTAGGTACTCCCTAGACGGATGGGGAAGGCACATGCAATGGGGTTCAATGGACCATGCAAGAAACTTTCCTCCAATATTCTGACTAGCTATTTAGGCAGGGATTTTTTTTTTTTTTATGTTATTTATAGTGATGGGAGAATTTCAGTCACTTATAATTAAAGAAAAAAATGTGACACAATTGCTATCTTCAAATTGGTAGTTAGACATAAATAAAATTTAGCAATTTTAACTGGTTTGGCTCAGGCCCTCAGATTTCCATATGGTTACTTTCCTTGTTTTCTATTAAATGTAACTGACTTAGCACTTTTAAAGTCTTGGCAGAATGTATCAATTAAAAGTATATAAATTAGAATTATTCAAAGCATGCATTCCAAATTGAGTGACTTTAAGGACAAAATTTAAAAATGCTCTTTTCATAAATGTTAATTTTTTTCTAAAAACTTGCATCATCACACAGATGACAAATTTCATGAAGACAAAAAAAAAAAGACATTCCAATTTTCTTTGGAATAACATAAACTAACAAGCATTCTATTTGTTTCTCTTCTGAGAATTAATGTGTGCCTAAAATGGCCTTTCTACACTGTTTTCAAGATGAATTTTTCCTGTTTTAGTATTTCTAAAACTGACAGCAGTCATGAAAACTCTCACAAACCATCTCAAAACTAAAATATGAGTACAACATTGATAAACATGGCATGAGGCCCATTAAACTGACAGCTCTTTTCTAATTGGTCTTGCCAAATATGCTGCACAATTGTTATTTAATATACCAGTATATCAGAGCATTACATTGAAAAAAACAACTATATACTGAAATAGATGTTCTTTCTAAACCAGTGCCACAATTCTCTTCAGAAACTGTAAAACCACACAATATGAATAAAATACAATCAGAAAGATGCAAAGCACATTCATTTCTGTAGGCTCCTGACTCAATTTATTGTTACAATTGCTCCTAAGGACTATTGCCCGTTTAATTGTTTCCCAAATACTGAAGTCCACCACCCAAGCTAAATAAATGACAGAATCATTTATCAAACCCCAAGTGGTTGTTGATGGAATTTCCACACTTACTTGGCTTGAGTGAAAAGCCAGAATACCTGTGTGTCTCTGGGATTCTTGGAGAAATTACAATTCAAGTTAAAACTTATTATTCTTATTACTATTATTAAATTCTCATTTTGTATCTTGGGTAACGGAAACGTACAGAATCATTGTCTTATGATAGAACTCTGGTATCGATGCCATATTTATAAATGATTACTTAAACTGTTGAACATTAATAGACATTCCTCCCTGGCAAGGATAACATTAGATGCAGTAGAACAAATGACCTTACTTATTAATGTCTAATTTCCTTATGCTATTCTCCATCCACATAGAAATTGCACAGAAAATTTCTTTCTAACTTTTGGATTAGGAAATGTAACAATTTGAAGGAGGATCTAATCCCCCTCCCTACTTCCATGATTTTATTTATTTCCGACTATTTCCAAGTGTCTTCCTTTGCAGTGGCAAGAATGTGGAATTGCTAGAAGTATCCTTAAAGGAAACCTTGAAGGTCATTAGATCCCAGGCAATGAATGCCTTCATTCAACAAGGGCACTGCCCTCCTTTGCCTGCAAATCCTTTAACATCAGCAAGATCCCCCAAGGGCTTGCACTTTAACTTGGTTGGAGCAGGTCACATTTCTAAAATACTTAGTCTCAAATGTCCCTGGTCGGCAGCACTGAGTCACTAACGCCACAGCGTTTCAGGCTAGATCAACCTCTTTCTAGTTTTCAATGGAATTATTCCATGTAATCCGATTTACACAGCCATTTAATCAAAGCGAGAAAGGAGATTACAGAGCTCACATTTGTTTTGCAAAGCAAGGGTGCAAGGATCATCAATCCTCCTGACTCTCAAAGTGACATGGTAGTACATCGTCTCCCTTTGGAGTGTTGGACATTAACCTGATCTGTCTCCTGTGTTCTTGTTTAAATAAGGTTTAGGCTTTTTTTTTTTTTTTTTTTTCCTGAACTAGAAGGTAGCGGTTTCTCCACCGGCTCTCACCACTACCATTCAGGTGAGATGCTACTGTAACAAGAATTGGTCCCCTGCCCTTATTATTCCACAAAGCAAAAAGCTTGTACAAGTCAAATAATTACATTACAACATTACAACTTTTTCTTTTGGTGCCAGTCTCTAACATTCACATTTCAACAGCACAGTGTGGTGATCCTGGGTGTGGTGTTCAATGCTTTGCCTATAAACTAACCTGCTTGCCCCAGGAACCTGTGCTCCCCTCCTTAGTCTTGGGCAGCTGCCCTCCAAACTGCACAAACCTTTCTGCCAGGAAACGTCCCTTCCCCCTGCCCTTTCCACCTGTGCATTGGGCTCCATTCTTCCTACTTCCTTCTGAATGTGTACATTTCCCAGGCCCACACATCAATTTAAAACAGGATAGGAACCAATTCATTCAGTAAAGCATTTTCAGCACATGGATACCTTCATTCTAAACAGACGATTTGGACAAATTCTCAATTTCCTTTTATCCCCACCACTTCCAGCCCCTCGGAATTGCAATCTCTGATAGATCCTCTTGGGGGGTGAAAGGGCAGCTTTACCCAACTCGGGGCAGATAACACAGATAAATTCCTAAGGGGAGAAGTGGGAAGAGGTAAGAACTGCAATGGAGAAAGGAACTCTGAGTGGGAGTACCATGGCAGCCCCTTGCAAACTATAAGCCAGATAGATATCTGCTTCAAGGGGGAAAAAAAAAATTCTAATTGTACCCCTGGGCGGTGCTTTACTCACAGTGTTTATGTATAATGCACAATTTAGCAGCCCTGGGAAATTACCTCAATAACTATCATTAGAGGTGCCTATTTAAAAAAACAAAACAAACAACAACAAACTTTTTTTCTCTTCGGTACTGGAAGAAGGTGGGTGCAATGTGGTGGTATTACCCCCCATCTATGGCTCCCTGGAAACTCACCCACAGCCGCAAACCTGGCAAAGACCGCGCAGAGCCAAGTTTCCGGGGCTGGCCGGGCAGGTTCTCCACCCTGCGGAGCGCCGCTGCTAAGGAGCGGCGGCACCCGAGTCCGCACGAGCCCCGCGCCCACCTCGGGGCTGCACAAAAACCTGGGTTCGAGAGTGAGCGAGCGTGGTGCGCTGGGAGCTGTTTTGTAATCTCCCGGAATCCACGGGAAAATATCTCCCGTGCAAAGAAATGCCTTCTCGTGGTAACTTAACTCCCCGGCCAAAGAGCAGATCCTTCCATTTTACAGGAACTGCGGTTCCGACTGACAGCTCCAAACTTAACGGCAGCGGCTCCAAACTTGACAACAGCTCCCTCTCAACGCTCCCACTCCTTCTCTCTGGCTCACCCGGCCAGGGCGGCTCCGACTCGCACGCCACGCCCGCCTCCCTCGCAACCTCTGGGCTCGTCCCGCGGGCACAGCCCCACACGCCCCGGCAGCCGGTGCCGAGACGAGCCGGCCTCTCCCAGGCTCCGGGCGCGATTTTCTAGGAGAGGCGGCAGGCTCCCGGCGCGCCCTACTCACTTGTGTCTTCTTCATAAGGAAAGGCAGCGCGGTGATCCAGCCCAGGCAGCGGTGTGGCGACTCCGTTTAGATGTTCTGGAGCTCCAGCATATTGCACGAGCGGCGGCTGCAGCTAGTCCACGCATTGGGTAGCCCGAGCGCAGCGCCCCCTCCACGGCCCGTGCTGCCCGCGGCGCTCCTCGTCCCGGCACAAGGCGGCAAGTGAAGCCTGGGCCGGCGCGCCGCCAACACTTTTATACCGGTCCCTCCCGCCTGCTCCGGACACGCCTCCTTCCCTTCCGGAGCCCTGGGAAGCGAGACGGGGCAGGGGCGCGGCGGGGAGACCCGGGAGGGCAGCCAGAGCGCGGCCAAGGCCCCCGAAGTTGGACAGATCAGGCCAAGCGCTTCCCCTCGCCTGGCCGCCGTGCGCGCACACCAGAGAGAAGCCACGGGGGCGCCGAGGGTGAAGCTGAACCTGCAGCCGCCTCTAGCGCCGCGTGCCGGGTGCAGCGAGTCCCAGCTCGGCCTCTCAGCTCCGCCGGGGTTCACCTGGTACCGCCCGGGGACAGACGCGCGCTAGCGAGAGCTGGGAGCTCCCCCCTTTTCCACTGGGGCGGTTCGCTAGAAGAGTTCACTGGGTGCCTAGCAAAGAATTCAGCCCGCCCCGCCTTGGGGGCGGGGATGGGGTGGGGGAGCTTAATTGGAATCTGAATCTGTAGTTAGGCCATTGTCTTATCTCCTCTATTTTCTTTTTTAATAATTTAGTCAATGAATATAATTAAAAAAATTGTTGACTCGGGGTTAAGTATTGCTAAGGGAGATGCTATTTTCAGAATGGTTTACAGCTGCTTCTTTAGAAATTAACATTAAGGGCGCCTGGGTGGCTCAGTTGGTTAAGCGGCTGCCTTCGGCTCAGGTCATGATCCTGGAGTCCCGCATCGGGCTCCCTGCTCGGCGGGGAGTCTGCTTCTCCCTCTGACCCTCCCCCCTCTCATGTGCTCTCTCTCATTCTCTCTCTCTCTCTCTCAAATAAATAAATAAAATCTTTAAAAAAAATTAACATTAAAAGAGAAGCCATAGATTATTAAATGTGCAGGTCGATAACAGCAAGTGTTTGAAAGTTGTACTTTTTTGTTAGCGATATATTCGAAATTAGAAAGATAATGAAAAAACAGTGATAATAGCTAATACCATTATGTGATGCACTTAATTACATACCAGGTGTCATGCATAGGACTTTTGGTAGATTCTTTTAGTAAATCTTTTCCTCAAATCTATTGTATAGGTCCTATCATTTTTATTCCCATTTTTATGGATGATGAAACAGAGGCTTAGGTCAATTTTCCCAAACCACAGCTAGTAAATGGTACAACTTAATTTGAATTCAGAGCCCTCTGGCTATATAGCCTTTAAAAAAGTACTTAGAACAAGGATTTTATTGCCTCTCCAAAACCCTTCTATTTTCGTTCTTGTAACTGGAGACCATTAAAAAGAATTGTGTTAATTTTTTAAAAGAAAATGTTAACCAGACATAACATCAATAATTTTTGGGAACAAGAATAATGTATAAATTTAGGAATTAGGTATTTTAATGAGAGTAGGATTCCAAATTTGCATTAATTAGTTCAGTGTGCCTTTGTTAAAAAATAAATATGCCAAACTTATAACCCTGAGAGCAGAAACTAGGTAAAATTTGAAGTTCACTGGGTTAGTTTTCTATGGCTGCTGTAACAAATAACCACAAATTTAATGGCTTAAAACAACACAACTGCATTATCTTACAGTTTGGAGATTGGGAGTCCAAGATGGATTTCCCTGGGCTAAGTGTAGGTGGTAGTGCCGCATATGCCTTATAGAAGCTCTAGGGGAGACTTCCTTGTCTTGCCTGTTTCGGCTTCTAGAAGCTGTCCACGTTCTTTGGCTCATGGCCTCCTTCATCTTCAAAGTCGGTAAAGGTGAGTTGAGTTCTTCTGGCCTCAAACCACTCTGACTTTCCTTTCCATCTCCCTCTTCTACTTCTAAGGGCCTTGCGGATAATCCGGGAAAATCTGCCTATTTTAAAGTTAGCTGGTTTACAATAATAACTCCATCTGCAATCTTAATTCCCCTTTGCCATGTAACATAGCATATTCACAGGTTCCAGGGATTAGGATGTTGACATCTTTGGGGGGTCATTATTCTTTTTGCCACATTCACTTAATAGCAAACAAATTTGGGGACTTGGTATGTCACTGTGCATCCTTCAGCAAGTGCTTTGCTCCACGTGGCTGGAGCTCCCAACTAGAAGACCACTTCCCTGTCCATAGTTAATGAAAATAAATGTTTGAAAAAAAGAACCACAAGAAAAGTTCACAGTACTAAACGATTGTTTTTACTTTCAATCAGAATGGTGCTGCAAACCACTTTAAGCAGAAGTGGAAAGAAGCCTGAAAACAGAAGTATGACAGCATTAGATAATCATTTAATTAATGACTCCACCCAGGTAATCCCAATTTTAACCAGCCCTTGGGGGTAATTTTGCTATGCCAAAATCTTCCAAACACTTCATATATGTGTGTGTGTGTGTGTGTGTGTATCACATTATATATATATAATGCATAAAGGATCTACACTCCTGAAATGTATTACTATAATAGAAAGGGAAATGAGTATGAAAAAGGTTGTTTCAGATCCTACTGCAGGCTCTATGACCTTGCCTCAAATCATGGGTATAGCAGTGTGACACGCATAGCTGTAAAGGTTCCCAGGATGATTTTAGGTGGTGCACAGATTAATATTTTTGTTTATTTTATCAAATGAGTATGAATTAAAATGTATATATTTTATATAATATGCATATATATCACATCAAACAGATGATTCCAAGTTGTTTCTTAGAAAAAAATTTAAAGGGTCAATTTAAAGACAGTTTAGTGTATAATATTAAATAAATAATAACTAGTACTAAGGGAAGGCATATGTGACAAAAATCATGAAGTTGGTAGAATTACAAAAACTTGGCAAACATCAATCTAACCATACTAATTTTATGAAACTAATAGAAAGGAAGGGCTAATAAATTAGGCCAGGTTTAAAGAAACCAGGAGGTGAACCTCTCAGAAATTCAGGTGAATTTCTTTTTATTCAACTAAGTCATTCATCTCAATACTCAAATATATTCATCTTCTACAGTGTGCTCTCACCCTCTCTCCCCCCTCCTCCCTCCTTTTCCCTTCTCAATTCTGTCTCCTCCTCCCACCTGCACAGCTCAATGACTCTAGCTACATTTAAATCATCAGACTTTCTTTTTATTTATTTATTTATTTAATTTATTTATTTATTTATTTTCATCACTGACTTTCTTATCCATAACTATATCCTTTGTTTCCTTCATATTGCTCACCACAGTTTTGCTGCATAATCATGTTATTTGAAATCAAGTCAAGAGAATAAAAAGCAGATATCAAAGAGATTAGAAAGAGCTAGTATGCAATTCAAAGATTCTCCAGCAAGCTCATGGGAGGTCAAAAGTGGGTCAGAAAGACTGAGATCTCCCTTGAACGCAGACCTTTGGAGGAGACACAGGCCAGTATCCAGTCCTTTAGCAGAAGAAAACCAGGAGCTACTTAAAAGTGAACAAGTATCAGGGCTATGCCCCAAGTGGATAGGAGACATGGGGAATGTTTTCTTGCAAAAATAGTAGGCTCCCATTATAGGGTTCAGGGAGTTCAACATTTGGTACATTTTGAAGAAAGTCTCTCCATGATAATCTCATCTTTACTTGCATTCTTTCAATGCTACTTTGTCCATCATGCTGTTTTGATTAATTGTTGGAAACAGTTTATGTTTTTCAGTTTAATATTTTTTGTTGTTACGAGACAGGTCTAATTTAGTAAATAAGTCTTGTAAGTCTTGTCTCATGCATGTGAAACATCTCTTGTTTATTTACCATTTTGTGACTGCCCTGTGTTAGACACACATGTTGTTTTCAATACCTTTCTTTAAAAAACAGGCACCCCAAACTAAAACTGCTGTTGTCTGACCAGGCCAGACCAGAGGGTTGCCATCCATTCCCATCTTTGGGAGAGATGGAAATGGAGAATCACATTTTGATTATGTAACTTCCTCTGCTGAAAACTCTTTGGTGGCTTGTCATTTGCTCTTGGGATAAAGAAATAAATACTTTAGCAAAGGCTTCACAGCTTCCAGGGTCTGACCCCTTGCTGCCTTTCCAAAGTCAATTCATTTTGTGCTCCCCTGCTCAGACAAGGGCCTTCTTTCTGTTCCTCATAATTTCTCCCCATTTCAGAGCCTCTGCATATCTCCTTCCTTTTGCCTCCACTTATACCACTTTGCTCAACCCTTTTCTCTTTGACTAGTAAATATCTTCTCATCCTCATTAGCTCTCAACTCAATATTCTCTATATTCTCTTCCTTAGGCAGGCTTTCTCTAACCTCTGATTCGGTCAACTCCCCTCTTAATATAAACTCCAGTATGAATTCCTTCTCTTGTGTAGCACTTAACAAAGCAGCTACAGTTTAACATTTGTCTGGGTGAGTATTTGATTAAAGTCATTGACTATGACTGTCCTCACTCATTATTTTATTGTCAGTTTCAAGTCCAGTGAGCAGAACATAGTGAATTTTTTAAAAAATTTTTTTATTGTTATGTTAACCACCATACATTACATCATTAGTTTTTGATGTAGTGTTCCATGATTCATTGTTTGTGCATAACACCCAGTGCTCCATGCAGAATGTGCCCTCTTTAATACCCATCACCAGGCTAACCCATCTTCCCACCCCCCTCCCCTCTAGAACCCCATAGTGAATCTCTTAATACTGCTCTAAGTTACTGATGCCAGACATGAGGCAGGGATTGTGCTAGGCCCTTAGTTTATACTATGTCACTAACTTCTCACAACAATTATGTAAGAGAGATAATTTTTCTATTTGATAAATAAGGAAACTGAGAACCAACAAGATAAAGTAGTTTTTTAAATGTCCTTCAAACAGTAAGTAGAAAGAGCATTGCTTTAATCCAGGCATATAGACTATGGTAAGCATTTATTATCTGCCCAGCACACTTTCTTATTCTTCTTTTCTGCTATCAGCACCCCCACTTCCTTCCAGTAGAATTCACAGTGGATTTCATATATTTCATGAGGGATTGTAATTCACAAGGCTCTTCGTGGGCCCTCCCCCCCCACCCCCCTGCAGCCCCACGTAGGAGTTGGTGAGGTAGGAGTACATCACCCAAGATGGACCCATCACAATCCACTGTGGGACTTATCTGCTAAAGTTAATTGGAAAGATTACCTCTTTCCTGTGGAGTTGCCAAACTACAAAAATGTGAATCTTCCTTTATCCTTATAGGTGTGTGATTTTACCAGCCTTAAAAATGATGACAAAACATCAGTTTATGGAGTATTCTTTGAATAACCCATATTCAGAGAGTATCATCAAACCCATTTGTTTAGTTCATTTTTTTCTTGGTTATGAAAAAAAGATTAGCAAATACTTAAATTATTGGATACTAAATACTTAAATTATTGGTAGTTGGCCTTCTTTTTCTTTTATGTTGTGGCTAAAAATTAACCATAGGCCCAATTTAAAAACCAACAGTAAATAATTAACATTTCTGAAAAAAGTTGAACCTGGATAATACCAAATCAGAGGGATTTTTAAAAAAAATTGTTTAAACTCTTTTGTGAAATTCTAGAAATGTTAGTAATATTAGCTCAGAATGTTCTATTTAGTGTTATCAATAAATATTTATCATATATCAAATGGAGTTTGACAAAATAAAAGAATTAGTGTTTCACGGAGATAATTGTAATACAGATAATGATCTATCAATATCAAGATAGATCTATATACATCTATCAAATAGTCAAGAAGATATTAGCTATTATGGCCCAAAGAAAAAGTGATATTATCAAGAAATTCTAAAGGAATAAACTTATTTAAATATTCTAGTAGGAATATGAGAGAAAAGAAATCCAAAGGATCTTCATGAAGGAATTTCTTGGCATATTTAAAATTATTAATTTAACCTTATAGAAATAATTCATATCATTTATTCATTAATCAATTTGACAAATATTTTTGAATACCTCCAGTTGACTAATAATTTCCTTTAAAACACAATATCCATTTCTATTATCCACTGCCCTACTTCAGAGGCTCATGAATCTCACTTAAACTATTTCATCAGATCCACCAGTGGTCCTCCTGTCCCTGGTCTTTTTTTATTCCAGTCCATTTCAACTTCACTGCCAACATTTCAGTAGCATCTGTAAAAATCTAGTCACAGCACCTCACTGTCTATAAATGTATTTTGATTCTCAGTACCTAGAGAATGAAATCCGAAGTTCCTCACAATTTGGCCACAATATTTGTAGCTCCCTACGTTCATTTGCTATACCAGCCACTTCCATCCAACTAGCCATATTGGACCTCTTAACATTTTCTCTTTGACGCCTTTGTTCTTGTGTTCACATTGTTCCTTTAGCACGCAATAGCTTTTTCTCTATTTTCTGCCTGAAATCTCCTTTTCATCATTCAAATCCTGGTTCAAATAACACTTCCTCTTTGAAGCAGAGTGTCTGTTTATTCTTTATAACCTTAATTAGGTCTATAATTAATGGGAAAATTAATTTATAATACATGAATCCTCAGTGAAGGAGGAAAGGATATTGTTCAAAATGTGATGAGTAAAAGAGTAAAGTGAGCTGTGGGAATTTGATGGGAACATTCTAGAGAGAGAACAGGAAATAGGGCTTCATAAAACAACTATGTTTTCATGTCATTATGTTTGCTACTAAAAGTTTAACAAACATTTTTTGACTCAAATTTATTTTATAATAAAGAAGGTATTTCGATTAACTTATATAAACAGTTTACTTGTCTTTTTCTAATCCTTTGAGATTTCAGAAACTTATTTCATGAACATGTAGTCTTTATTTTTTAAGATTTTATTTATGTGACAGAGAGAGAGAGAGGGAGAGAGCAAGCACAAGCAGGGGGAGTGGAAGGCAGAGGGAGAAGCAAACTCCCTGCTGAGCCCCATGTAGGGCTCTATCCCAGGACCCTGGGATCATGACCTGAGCTGAAGGCAGACGCTTAACCGACTGAGCCACCCAGGCGCCCCAACATGTAGTTTTTAAAACTAGAAGACAATTTTGATAAGTGTAGTTTTCATAGTTAATCCACAGATGAAGAAACTGAGGCCACAAATGGATAATTTGAATGAGGGGCAGAATCCACATCTCCGGAACTGACTTATGAAACACTAGTCCAGAAGCACTACCTCTAAGGAATCAAGATCCAAGAGTAAATATTCCACCCTTGTTTATAGTAAAGAGTGATTTATTATTAATAAGAAAATGATTTAAAGATTATTCAGAAAAGGATTTCTAGCAAAGAAGAAAAGTTGAAATTGATTTTCTAAATGATATGTATATTCTGGGAATATGCTTCTCTATAGTCTGTATTCCCAGA